CATGAAGAATTCCAGATGATTTCTACTTTACCTTCAAGGAAACACAAACCTCCACTCCTCTAGTGTGGGCTGTGTGTAATGATGTCCTTCCAAAGAGTACAGTATGGAAAGGGGAGAAAGAGCAACCTTATAATGGAGAAAGCTGACAAGCACTACCTCAGGCAGGTGATTAAGGTCAAATCAACAGTGATAAGTTATGTTGATGGTATGTACCTTTGATATGATGCATGATAATGGTACTTTACCTTCCCAAAACCCATAACCGCCCTAACCAGTTTGGCCTAGTGGCTAAAGCATCAGCCCCATGGACTGAAGGGTCATGGGTTCAATTTTGGTCAAGGTCATACCTTGGTTGCAGGCTCAATACCCAACCTGGTAGGGATGTGTGCGGTGGCTAAAGCATCAGCCCCATGGACTGAAGTGTCATGGGTTCAATTTTGGTCAAGGTCAAGGGCACATACCTTTGTTGCAGGCTCAATACCCAACCTGGTAGGGATGTGTGCTGGAGGCAACCAATCGATGTGTCTCTCTCACATCAATGTTTTTCTCTCTCTGTCTCTCCCTCTCTCTTTCACTCTCTCTAAAAATCAATGGGAAAAAATATATATCCTTGGGTGAGGAATAACAAAAATCTATAACCCCAGCTATGGGTTTATAAAAATATATATATATCAGGCAAATTCCATTAGAGAGAATCCTACAGAATACCTGCCCAGCACGCTTCAAAACTGTCAAGGTCATCAAAAACAAGGAAAGTCTGAGAAAAATCACTACAGTTAAGAGGGGCAGGCCTAAGGAAACATGACAACTAAAGAGAAGGTACTATCCTGCACGGTATTTCTACATTTTACAGATGTGGAAACAAAAGCATGAGAAAGCTCATTTATGCAATTGTTTAATAAATATTTATTAGTGAGTTAGTGATTGCCCATAAGTGCAGAGTGTCCTCCAGTTAATGCCCTGCAGGGGTTTCAGGAGCCACTGTTTGGATTGAGCTCAATCATGTGACCTCTGCCTCTTTCCCCCAAGCAGCTCTTCCTCCTCCTGGACTGTGGTGTCACTGCACCATCTGCCAGGTCTCCCAAGAGAAGTCCCACACTCTTCCACCCCGCTCCCTCCACATCTAACTTGACACTAAGTCCATTAGGCCCTTCTCAGAAATGTCTCCCCAGGGTCTTCCTAGTTTACTTGCTCTTTCTTCAGATTGGGCCATCCCTCACCACCTCTCCTCTGCATCTGCCTCAGGTCTCGTCCTTTCTGATGTGGACTCCACCCAAGCCACCACCCATCTTTCTAGAACCCACATCAGATGATCTCATCCCAAACCAACGCCTTCTGAGGGCCCATTCAATGGCTTCCTCAAGCTGGCCACAGCCAATCCCATATCCTACTCCACAGTGCTCCAGCTTTCCCCCCCAAACTTCAAACATCACACTGTTTGCAGGCCTTTGCTCTTGGTTTTCTTTCTTTCTTTCTTTTTTTTAATAGTTTATTGATTTTGCTTTTTATTTATTTATTTATTTATTTAAATTCTTTATTGTTTAAAGTATTACATATGTCTCCTTTTATCCCCATTGGCCTCTCCCCGGCCACTCCCATTGCCCTGATTTTGCTTTTTAGAGAGAGGGGAAGGGAGAGGGAGAAACAATGATGTGAGAGATTAACATTGATTGGCAGCTGCCTCCGGCATGTCCCCTACCAAGAATCGAACCTGCACAGGAAGACGCCCAACAAACTGAGCCACACCGCTCAAGGTGCCCTTGGTTTTCTTGAGCGGCACCTTGAAAGAAATCATTTCTGTCTAATGCCTTTCCTTTTTTGCACTTGGAAATCAAGCATGCACTTCAAGTCCTAGCTCAGACTCACCTGCTTTTGTATACCAACCCTCTCTCTCCCTCACCCAGCAGTCAGCCTTGCTCTGTCTCATGGCAACTACCACCTGGATTCTGAGGGATAGGAGCTGTGGTGGATCTCGGTCTATAACTGTGAGTTCCCTAAGGCACCTCCACATTCCTGTGCTCAGCAAAGTTTGAGTTATTTCCCACAATCAGCTTCTGCTATATCAAAGCGGAATGTCCACACTTCATAATTAAGTGCCAGTAAGTGGCCAGGACAAGAAAAGCCATAGTAGCTCTTAGGGGGAGGTTGTGGTCTAGGGAGGAGATGGATTTGAGAGTGACTGTCAGATTGAAGCCATATTTATAGTTTATTGAGCATATGTTCTGTTAGACATTATGCTATAGCAGTGAGCTTTCTCCTAGATCACCTCATTTACTCTTCAAAACAGACCTAGGTAATTATTGTATCTATTTCTGTAGATGAAGAAACAGAAGCTAAGAGCAATCAGATGTGCAGTGTCACAGCTAATGAGTGACTGGGGATGGATAACAGGACTGGTCTCTGGGCTCTTCCAAAGTCCAGCCCAAGGATTGAGTAATGAGTATGTGGAAGATGCTGTTGTAATCACCTCAACAGGGATCCAGTACGTACTGTCTATAGTAAGCAAGGCCCACTTAGGCCCCACCCCACACATCCCAGAGAGCAGAGGAAAAGAGGGAGGCTTTTAGAACAGTGAGGAGGTGGCTGGAAGGACTCTGTGTCCCTGAAAACACCCCCAGGCCGACAAGCTCCGTGCATGCGGGAGGG